TGTATGGATCCAATGGGCACCAAAATCATATTATAATAAATATAATAATACTCTCTGACTTTTCCATTCCTCACCTAACCATCTCACCATCTATAAGTTTTCTTATATAAAACAAGCTTTTGATGTTAATCATTTTCATACATTAAACTCCAATGTCTGCCGTGCTTGAGCAATCTCAAATTCAGCCTTCACCGGACAACGTGAGTGAGCTAACACTTCCTTTAGTACATTTCGATTTAACATGGTTGTATTTTCATCCTGTTCATCGGCTACTCTTCTTCGAATTTCCATGTTCAAAGGCAGATTTCGTCGACATCCTTGTTCCAAAACTCAAACAATCTCTCCTCCAAACTCTTAAGCATTTTCTTCCACTATCTGGCAACATAATCTATCCATTAGACTCCGGCAGGCCTATTTCGCGCTATGTCGTGGGAGATTCTGTGTCGCTAACAATTGCTCAGTGCGATAAAGATTTCAATCACCTCACAGCCATGGTTCCTCGGGTTGCTGATGAGTTCTATTCATGTGTCCCTCAGATGCCTCCAGCGACTCATTCGCCTGACTCCGTAATTTTTCCAGTTCTTGCCTTGCAAGCAACCATCTTTCCAGGCCATGGTGTTTGTCTTGGTTTCACTAACCATCACGCCATTGGCGATGCTAGTACAATTGTTCGCTTTGTGAAAGCTTGGGCTACAGTTACAAGATTGGGCGGCGATTCACAACTTATAGATGATAAATCTTTACCATTTTACGATAGGAGTTCGGTTGAAGATCCAGAGGGACTCGATTCGATATACTGGGAATTGATGAAGAAATCTAGGCCTATGGATGCTCCACCTCTTAACTTTCCCCTCAATAAGGTTCGTGCAACATTTGTACTGACCAAAGATGATGTTCAAAAACTGAAGATTTTTGTTTTGAGCAAACGACCGAAGATGACGCACGTATCGTCTTTCACTGTAATATGTGCACATGTATGGGCTTGTTCAGCGAAAGCAATGGCTGCGAGCGGGGTGGATTTGGGCGATGATGAGCCGGAGTATTTCGGTTTTCCAGCTGATTGTCGAGGACGAATGGATCCACCGTTGCCTTCTACTTATTTTGGGAATTGTTTAGCGTTCGTCAAGGTAGAAACAACGCACGGAAAATTGAAGGGAAACGAAGGGTTTTTAATTGCTGCTGAGTCGATTGGGGAAGCTATTCAGAGAACGGTGTATAACGAGAAGGGTATCTTGGATGGTGCAGAGAAATGGCCATTGGAATTTAGAGAATTGAGCGGAAAAAGGCTTTTTGGAGTGGCTGGATCGCCTAGGTTTGATCTGTATGATGCAGATTACGGCTGGGGGAAGCCCAAAAAAAAAGAAGATTACGGCTGGGGAAAGCCCAAAAAATATGAAGCTGCTAACATCGATGGGGATTCGTCAATGTCCCTTTGTAAGTCGAGGGATTTCGAAGGAGGTTTCGAGATTGGCTTATCCAGGCCTAGAAATGTGCTAGATGCCTTTGCACCTTTCTTCACCATCTCGCTTCGAAATCTTTAACTTCTTGGGCTTTAGAGGACCATTTCCATTGCAACGGTAGTAAAACCTAGTGCTCTATGATACAAACAACGAAAGTGATACATAAATATGTACTTTTATTCTGTGTTCATACGATCTATTTGGGGTACACATCTGTTGCTTTATTGCAGTGTATTTCTTTCATTGTCCGGTTCCTTTCTACACAATCTTTTGATCTATTTTCTCGTATGCCTCCAAATGTTTCGTTGGAGATGCATTTATCCATTGGCAAATGACTTCAGTTATTCAACTTGTAGTTCATTACATACTTGAATTGATTGTTGAATACATAAAAAAAAAAAAAAGTACTATATTTAGTCTCTTGCATCAGTTTGTTTCGTGTCACGAGTTAGTACTCTTACTGTTGAAAGTTGCGTTACAAAATTTTTTTCGTTTCTGTTTGATTTTTCTGAATTATAAAATCATTATTTTTTTTTTTCAATTTAGATCAAGCACGAAAATTATGAGCTTGTTTCTTGACCCTTGCTAATTTCATTCTTATTGCATCTTTATTTTACGGAAAAGATATAAGTTTGGGGAACAATAAAATAAGAGACTTTTGAAATGATCCAAACTTTCAATATAATGGTGATTATTTGTACTTGGATCGATCTTTTTTTTTTGGGTATACAATTTGTTCAGAGATGGTAACACTTGTACAATTATATGTAAAAGTGCAGGTGATAATTGTCTGGTCTAATCCAACCTTTATTTAGTCTTGTATATACAGAAGAAGACTATAAAATGCTAGGAGAGAGAGAGCAGCAGCATATGATCGAAATCAGATTCCTCAAAACATTATTTCATGCACGTTCTTCATTGAAAATGGATCGCGCCTTTTGCTTCTTCTATCTGCATATGCACCTACCACCTTTCCAGATCCAAATTGCACTACGGAATTCTTCCAGGGATTCTTCTGTTAGCTTTTCTAGGTTCAAATTCTGTTTGTTATGTCGATTTTGTACATAAATTCACGCGTTCTACATTATATCCGCATATATGTTTCCTCTTTTATGTCAAATATTCTGTATATATTTTTCAAATTTTCACTGCGTTTAGTGGATGCAAATTGTGGGGGCAGTAATTGAGTTTGACCATTGTGATATATCATGTTTGTTGAAACGCTTATACGCCAGCTGGATAAGAAGTTGTCTATTTGTATCAGTTAGGTGAAGCTGGAGAATGAATATTTGGTAACTAGTACGGCTGATGATCAATATCTTTTATTTCTCCTTCAATGCCTTCGAAAATTATATCGAAAAAGGGTATGACTCATGTTGTTTGAAAATTTTCATTCTGCTTCTTCTAAATTTACATGTGCAACTCGGATCGTCCTAATGTTACTTGAGAAAGATTATTTGTTGGATTGAGGCTACAAATTTTTAAATTACATTAATAGCCATTAATCAAATAAAAGTTAATAGCTTTACTTATTTTTTATGATTTGTTATTGGTCTGCTACTGTCTGAGTGAGTGAGTAGTTTTTTGTTTTGGTTGTAGTTGCATTCACTAATGGAATAAAGAATTTATATTTCTCTTGTAGTGCCACTTACATATGTAAGCAGTTTAAAGGACTGTAGGCTTTTTTAGTAGTTCACCTTTCTGAACAATAAATTCTTAGTATTTACCATTGAAAACTTGTAGATTACTCTGTTTTGTCGAGAATAAATTAATCCTGAATCTCCTGATTTCTTAGAATTTGATGTTTCAGTGGTACACTTGGAGTTGGTAATGGTAAGTTCAGTTCTTGATTCTGATAAGTTCGTGAAGCAGTTTTACATCCCTGATCATATATTTTTGCCATACTCCATGCCCGAGTGTCCACTTGTTATACCCGAATGCCCTGTTCTTGTATTCGTCAATTCTAAAAGTTCTCAACACTTTATTGTTCAATACTGAACAAAAACCAGGTGAAGTCTCCATTCCTTTTGCTTTATTTTGCGTAATTATATGGATTCCAAGTTCATTATATCTTGATAAGAATGTTACTGTAGAAAGCTATCGATCATCAGTATTGATATAGATTAGTATAGTATATGACTAACGTTACCTTTATTCTCTCTTTCACATCAAATTTGGCATGGATATGTTATTTATAAGTTGCCGGTGAAGATGGTACGGCTGGTTGGCTTCTTGGGGTCATTTCTGATCTAAAATTGTCTCAGCCACCACCTATAGTTACGGTGCCTCTCGGAACTGGAAATAACCTTCCATTTGCATTTGGATGGGTATGCAAATTTTTTCATTTGTTTATTGGCCATAGATGATGCATATATGCTTTTCTTGACTTCTAAAATATATATATATATATATATAGAGAGAGAGAGAGAGAGAGAGAGAGAGAGAGAGAGAGAGAGAGAGAATTTACAATATGACTATTATCTTGCTTTCATTATAACTCTACATTGATTTGCTCAATATTATTTGGACTGATATAATATGTGCCTAAATCTATGAACTAACCATCTTTTGGTCGAACTTTTGGTCACAACTTGCGGCTTTTTTGCTAATTATGAAAGTTGTCTTTTACTTTCTGCACTATAGTCTTTCTTTACTGTTTTAATCCCCAAGAGCTAACTACTGCATTTTCTACAGGCAAATGCAAAATTTGAATGGCATGAATCAATTTCAAATACTTTCTAGTTCCTTTGTGCAATGACCTTAGGTTCTCCTGGGTTATGATTTTTCCAAAGTATTAATCCTCATTGACTTTGACTTACTTTTTCAAATGCTGGGAAAGAAAAATCCTGGAACTGATCATACTTCCGTGCTCTCATTCTTGGATCAAGTATGGAAAGCAAAAGAAATGAAGCTACTAGATAGGTGTCGTTACAGATATTATTTAACCCCATATGATTAGTTTTTCATGTGAGCTACC